CAGAAATAGAGAGAAGGATAAAAATTAAGACAGAGACAGAGACAGAGACAGGGACAGGGGACAGAGACAGAGACTGAGCCAGAGTCAGAGTCAAGAGTGATGCTGTAAGAGGAGGGCAGAGAGTGTGTCTGGCGTCTGGGCCGTTAACGTTGTGTTTGCATGCAGATTCAGAGATGCGGATCGACGCCAAACGCCCCCATCACACTCTCGTGCTGTGTGTTGTGATCGACCTTGCAACGGTCACTTTATCTGACATTATTGGACTTTTTATCTGACATCGGTGTGCTATCTGACAATTTTGGGCTAAGAGTTTAATTTGAGCGACGAGTTTTAGTTTACAAGGTACAAGAAGGATATCAATGGCGACCACCAGGGTTCCGAGATGCTGTCGGGTGAGCGAGGGTCAACCGCGCAGCCTCATGCACGATCTGAATAAAAAGCGCAAGGAAGGGAAGAGCACAAAACACAAGCAGCACAAGATATTTCCATCAGCCAATCAGAGTTGCGGCGGGTGCACAGTGTCGAGGCCGATGCTGGCGCGGAAGAGTTTAGAGCCCAGAGCCAGAAGAGAAAACAAGGGGGTGCAACATGCAATTACTCGGTGGCCTTCGATCGAGCAACACGGGCATGAAAAAGATGGCGAAGACACATGTCAATCATAAAAAAACACACACACACACGCAAAGAAAAAGGTTCTTTCTGTCCTCGAGCAGGTGAGGGGGGTAAATCGGCTCGGGGTGGCGGCCACATGTGTGCGCCGTGGCCGAGCCAGAGCTAAAGATGACCACAAAATACAGGGATACGAGCACAAACAGGTTGGGTCGGACCCAAGAGAGGTTACATGAGTTGTTGGAGCAAGGCCCCGACTTGTTCCTGGAGCGAAGTCAGATAGCTTTTGGCCGCTGCTTTTTGTTTCTTGGAGAGCATCTTGGAGGGGCCGTCCGCGTTTTGCAGTGCATCCGCGCTGAGTTCAATGGCTTTGCCGTTGTCCAGAGGCACCGTAATAATGGTATCACGTGTTCCGCGCGAGGAAGAGGCCCGCACATGCACGCCGTCTGAATCCAGCATGACGGGTGAGCCATTCTCCGACACCAGACTACAAAAGCAGCAGCGCATCAGCGGGCATTGTGGTGTGAGTTGAATTCCATGCACAGCTTGGCCCCGCTCACGCCTTAGGCTGCGGCAGCCTCTGAAGCACTGACCATTCACCCTTGCGAGCTGAACGCAGAAAGGGTGTGGTTGGCAAGCGGGGATCCATGGCTGGCGTAGCTTGCTGTCACACAAAGCAAGAATTAAAGCGTCCGTGAGCTTGGACCCTTTGACACACTCCATCACCTGCCCTGTTTCAGGTCGTTTGAAACCCGTCTTGATTTTTAAACAGAAAAGGGGGAAAAAAACCATGCTGCTGTGCCACAGTACCAGAAACGAGGTACGAACCGTGATACGAGCGCTGGCCGAGTTGGCGGCTGGCGTAATAAAGGCATTTGAGGAGGAGGAGGAGGCAGGAGCCTAGCCACAACGGCAACGATAAGAATGGGCAACGAAAAGAGCCAGGCATGAACGAATTGCACCGCTGCCATTCCCCTGTCCTCCTGTAGCGTTTAGACTGTCTTGTCTTGTTCGGATTGACCCACCTTGGCTTTCTTGCCACGGGGTTGCGTGGTCGGAGGGGGCATGCTGTTGGTGTTATCTTGAAGCACTCGCTTGCGGCGGGC